TGAGCTGGGCTTTTGGTTTTGCATCTAACCCCCAGCCACCTCCTCCCGGTGTCCACGCAATGCCCCCAGTATTGCTCGGGGATGGCAGCGTTTCCCACAGAGGGTGACTGGGGCAGCTCCCCATCCTCATCCTCTTCATCCTCCTCCCCCCGGCGCTGTTGCTAACCCCTCTCTCTGGCTGTCTCCCTCCAGGCTTGGCTGACAGAAATTCATGAATACGCACAGCAAGATGTGGTCCTCATGTTACTGGGAAACAAGGTGAGCCTGGCCCCAGAGCCTCCTCTTCCCCCGCTCAGGGGGCTGCGCTGCAGCCACGGGCAGGGAAGCCTGGGAGGGCATACGGGGACATGGGGGTTGCCTACTGGTGACCTTCCAAGTCATCCCAAATTGCTCTTTGCCGTTACTGTCGGCAGGTGGATTCAGCCCAGGACAGAGTGGTGAAAAGGGAAGATGGAGAAAAATTAGCCAAGGTACGTGAGGTGTCCGTCTGCTGGAGCGGAGTTGGTTGTTACGAGCTCTGACTGAGGGTGTAGCGAGCGTGTCAATGTGTACTCGGTGATGTACACCAGTGACATGGCTAACTGGAGACCAGTCTGACCCAAAATACGTCTGGGAGCACTTTGCTTTTCTTCCCTTCTCTTGGTCTCCTCTTCCTCATCTGCTTGGCTTCCTCTAAGCTTCCACTAACATTTTTTGCTTCTTTATCCTCAAAAATGATTTCTGAAGTTGTGTAAGGAACGCCTGAGCTGTGAAACCTCACTCAGCTTTTTGCTGCCCACCGTGGCAGAGCTCCTCTCCCAGGCCGGGTATCGGCTCCTGCGGCAGGCACTGATTTCGGCTGGGGCTCGGTGTGAGCCGGGAGCCCCCGAGTCCCTGGGAACACCCCAGGTGACATTTCTGACACCGATGTGTCTTGTCCCGCAGGAATACGGCGTGCCCTTTATGGAGACCAGCGCAAAAAGTGGCCTCAACGTTGAATTAGCGTTCACAGCGATTGCAAAGTAAGTGACTGGTGCGGTGGCTGTGCTGGGCACCTCTCCCGCGGTGGGGACAGCAGTTTTTGAGATAAAGGCTGGCACTGTCACCCACCTTTTCATTCCCTGGGCTCCCACCTTCAGCTCTTGTGCTGGCAAGTACTTGGTATCTCATGTGAGATATGAAATATCTCATCGGGGGAGCTTTAGCAAACCATCTAGACCAAGTCGAGTTCAACTGAGCTGGGCCAGGCAGCTTCTAAGCAGGCAGCGTAGGCAAAGTAACGTCTTTTTTCCCCTTCCCACAGGGAACTGAAGCACAGGTCCCTGAAGCTGCCCAACGAGCCCAAATTCAAGCTCCACGACTACGTGAAGAAGGAAGTGAGAGGCTCGGGCTGCTGCAGGTCCTAATGCGCTCGGTGCATTTGTACAGAGACTCATGCCAAGTGTTTGTGCGCTGCGCTCTCTCTCCTCGTGGACAATGTGTGCATGTCTGTCTGTCGTGTCTGTATCTGCCTACAAGGTGAGCTGGGACGTGGGGAATGGA